CACGCATAGTACACACACGCATAGTACACACACATAGTACACACACATAGTACACACACATAGTACACACATAGTACACACACATAGTACACACACATAGTACACACACATAGTACACACACACACATAGTACACACACACACACATAGTACACACACATAGTACACACACACATAGTACACACACATAGTACACACACACACATAGTACACACACACACATAGTACACACACACACACATAGTACACACACATAGTACACACACACATAGTACACACACATAGTACACACACATAGTACACACACACATAGTACACACACATAGTACACACACACACATAGTACACACACACACATAGTACACACACACACATAGTACACACACACACATAGTACACACACACAGTACACACACACACATAGTACACACATAGTACACACACACATAGTACACACACATAGTACACACACACATAGTACACACACATAGTACACACACATAGTACACACACATAGTACACACACACGCATAGTACACACACACACATAGTACACACACATAGTACACACACACATAGTACACACACACATAGTACACACATAGTACACACATAGTACACACACACACATAGTACACACACATAGTACACACACACGCATAGTACACACACACACATAGTACACACACACACATAGTACACACATAGTACACACACACATAGTACACACACACATAGTACACACATAGTACACACATAGTACACACACACACATAGTACACACACACGCATAGTACACACACACACATAGTACACACACACACATAGTACACACATAGTACACACACATAGTACACACACACATAGTACACACACACACACACATAGTACACACACATAGTACACACACATAGTACACACACACACATAGTACACACATAGTACACACACACACATAGTACACACACACACACACATAGTACACGCATAGTACACACACACATAGTACACACACATAGTACACACACATAGTACACACACATAGTACACACATATAGTACACACACATAGTACACACATAGTACACACATAGTACACACACACATAGTACACACATAGTACACACATAGTACACACACATAGTACACACACATAGTACACACACATAGTACACACACATAGTACACACACACACATAGTACACACATAGTACACACATAGTACACACACATAGTACACACATAGTACACACACATAGTACACACACACACATAGTACACACATAGTACACACACACACACATAGTACACACATAGTACACACATAGTACACATATAGTACACACACATAGTACACACACATAGTACACACACACACACACAGTACACACATAGTACACCCACACATAGTACACACACACACATAGTACACACACACAGAGTACACACATAGTACACACACACACGCATAGTACACACATAGTACACACACATAGTACACGCATAGTACACGCATAGCACACACATACACACATAGTACACACATAGTACACACACACATAGTACACACATAGTACACACACACATAGTACACACATAGTACACACATAGTACACATAGTACACACACATAGTACACACATAGTACACACATAGTACACACACACAAAGTATACACATAGTACACATAGTACACACACATAGTACACACACATAGTACACACATAGTACACACACATAGTACACACACAGTACACACATAGTACACACACACGTAGTACACACATAGTACACATAGTACACACACATAGTACACACATAGTACACACACACATAGTACACACACACATAGTACACACATAGTACACACACATAGTAAACACATACATAGTACACACATACATAGTACACACATAGTACACACATAGTACACACATAGTACACACACACAGTACACACACACACATAGTACACACACACACACATAGTACACACACATAGTACACACACATAGTACACACATAGTACACACATAGTACACACACATAGTACACACACATAGTACACACATAGTACACACACATAGTACACACACATAGTACACACACATAGTACACACATAGTACACACACATAGTACACACACACATACATAGTACACACACACACACACATAGTACACACATAGTACACACACACAAAGTACACACATAATACACACACACACAGTACACACATAATACACACACGCATAACAACAACCGCAATTCGCCACTAAGTGGCGGTGACGTCACCACGACGCTTGTACCAGGCTATGTGCACCCTGAGGCCACGTGAAGTGTCGAACACCCGCTGGCAGGAGGTCACGGGGCAGACCCAGGTGCCACGGGTCGACTGACTGAGATGACTGGCTGATGCACCACCTGTGCCCCCTACTGTGCCAAACTGCTGTGCTTTAGCCACCCGGCGCTCCGCTCGTTGTTGTGAGCGTCGCTCCTCCGCCCTCCGTTGTTGTTAGAGGGCGACTACCTCCAACTGCCCAGTAGCGTCCTTCACGAGCCTCCTCCACAGAGGCCGATCTTGACACCGCTGGTACCAGTCATCGGCAAGTCCACTCAGCTCCACGTCCTCCTGTACCACATCACTCCATCTCTTCTCTAGCCCGTGCCGCGCCCGTTTAGCCCCCTCGATCCGGCCGAACAAAAGCTGTTTCGGCATGCGGTGGCTGGGCATGCGGGCTACATGACCCAGCCAACGCAGCCTTGCCTGCCGGAGGAGCTCACCGATGGGACCTTGCCCAGATATTTCAAAGATTTGTGAGCTCCTCACACAATCCAGTCTGGTTAAACCCAGGATGGATCGTAGGCAGGCCAGCCTAAATGTTTCTAACTGGCGAAGATGCTCCATTAAGGGGGTCCACGTTTCGCAAGCGTAGAGAAGGGAGGGAATGACTGTGGCCGAGAAGACCTGAAGCTTAGTGCGGAGCGACAGACCAGGTAGCTTCCACACAGCGTTACGCAACCGATGAAAAGATATTGCCGCTCGACTTATTCGGAGTGAGACCTCTGCTGTTAAACTGGAGCCAGTCATAAGCACACTGCCCAGGTATGGGTAACTCTCCACTCTCTCCACAACTGCCCCATCACCAATTGGGAGTTGTGGGGGTGGAGTGTCCGATGGTACAAAATACCCAGGCAGATGCTTAGTTTTGGTGGGGTTGATGGTAAGGCCCCGCCTCTTAGTGGCACGCTCCAGTCTCAGCAGCAGCGTCTCCAACTCCTCCTCTGAGTGAGCAGCTATTACCAAATCATCGGCATACATAACGTGGTTGAGCAATAGGGAGCCATCCCTTGACCGCACCCGGGCATCGATCAGCCTCCCATTATATCTGTACCATATGGAGATTCCCCCGGTACAGCTATTGAAGGTTTCACGAATTACGTGGTCAAAATAGATGTACACATAGTACACACACACACATAGTACACACACACACATATAGTACACACACACACATAGTACACACACACAGTACACACACACGCATATTACACACACAGTGCACACACACAAACATAGTACACACACACAAAAACATAGTACACACACACAGTATACACACACACAGTACACACACACATAGTACACACACACACCAGGCATACATACACACATGCGTAGGTGAGTGGGTAGGTGAGTGGTTAGGTGAGTGAGTGAGTGGTGAGTGAGTGGTGAGTGAGTGGTGAGTGAGTGGTGAGTGAGTGAGTGGTGAGTGAGTGAGTGGTGAGTGAGTGGTGAGTGAGTGAGTGGTGAGTGAGTGGTGAGTGAGTGAGTGAGTGGTGAGTGAGTGAGTGAATGAGTGAGTGGTGAGTGAGTGAGTGGGTGAGTGGGTGAGTGAATGAGTGAGTGGTGA